CAGCAGCTCCTCCAGATCTCTGTGTTTCACTGCAAACAAACAGCCTGACACTGCGAAGAACACAACGTCATCATGTTGTTACATCAGCACAGACAAATCACACTGTGGCTTGGAAGTTTGATCAATGTAATCTTTAACATCTGCTATATCAACTTCTATATCTATTTGTATCTTTCTATCTATATTTCTATTTCTATATCTATTTCTATCTTTGTGTCTAATGTATATCCATTTCTATATCTATATCTATTTCTATATATATCTACATCAGTATTTCTCTATCTGTATCTCCGAGTTCCTGATGCCCAAGTAATAGAAAGTAGAAACTTATAAAGTTAAAGTTATACACTATTAAAATCCTCCGACGTCTCCGTTGGACTGTCTGACAAAACAGCAGCAGCACATCTGGATGCAGCTCCATTTATAAACTGATTATTGATTAACATTTTTAATGATTTCTTTACATATTGAATTTCAGCAGACTTTGCATCTTCACTCCATGTTGTCTGTCGTAAACCTCACGGAGAGAGACAGGCCGTCCATTTACCTGTGTGTGTGTGTGTGTGTGTGTGTGTGTGTGTGTGTGTGTGTGTGTGTGTTGGACCGTGGCATCCAAAATCAGCAGCACTCAATGACAGCTGAGCTCAACTGGACCTTGACGAAGCTTAACGCTCTCTCGCAGCCGTGCAAACATCCTGGGCAGGTAAATGGACGACCTGTCTTCCTCTGAGGTCGTGAGAGAGGGCAGGCAGACAACAGGGGGCTCACCTGTCTGTCTCTCTACCTGTCTGTCTGTCTCTAACTTGCATCAGAAAACAAGGTTCCCTGATAAAATGTACATTTAACAAACAGAAGCAAGTTGTTAGTGTAAAAAACCTGAACCTCTCGGGGGCCAAACGAGGCTCCAGATCAAAGATTAAATGCTCAGTTCTGCTGTTGACAGAGCTCAGGACCTCCAATATGGCTGCCAAAAGGGGCGTGGCTGAAAACATCCTTCATATGTACATCAGCTCATTCATCAGAGAGCGTCTAAATGCATTCCTGTGCTCCTGCTGTCAGTCAGAGGTAGAATAGAGACTTACAGGCCCATTCAGACCTCAGACAGCACTGCTTAGGCATGCAGCTAGTGTACACACACACACTCACAAAGGCTTTGACAGATGGTAGTATTCAGAGTGACGGCGGTCAAACAGACGGACGGACAGAAGCGGATTGTAAACGGACTCTCCCCGATTTCTGTCCGTCTGAGATCAGCTACTGTTTAATGTTCTCCAAGTTCTCCACAATGACGCAGAACGTTCAAATATTCAAGACGTCAACCTGCTTAGAACCAAATACTGAAGGAAGTCAAACAAACAAAAACATAAAAACTACTCAGTTACCAAATCTGGCAACTCGCACTAAAGCTGGAGACGCTGCACAGAGCTGCTGGGCGGAGGGATACACTGTTGTTCGTCATGAAAATAGTTCCAGCACAAACTGTGTCTTTTTATGTAATGTTTGTGTGCAGATTAATCAATAAAGATACAATATAATAATCACATTATAGGTGTTTTTTTTTAAACGTCAGGCTAGCAGTTTCCCCCTGCTTCCAGTCTTTATGCTAAGCTAATTCAAAGTTTGTGCAGCATTAATCAAATTAAATTCAAGAAGACAAAACAAAACAAACAGTGAGACGTACGATTATTTACTGGAAGCCCGAATAAATTGTTCTTCTTTTGGTTTTGTGACTTTGGGATTTGGCAAAACTTTGTGAATATCTTTAAATTTACGAAACATTTTGGATTTCGCTGTAAGATTTTTTTGTGCTTGTGTTGTTCTTTTTGGGACTCGTTTACAGTCGTTCAACTCGTAGATAAGTAGTGCAAACATACTTCTACCAACTACCAACAAAACAAAATAATAAAACTTACTTAGAAATCAGAATTTAAAAATTCAAACTGTCACGATCTGTCACGGGTGCATTGTTTGTAGTTTATTCTGGAGGCGCTGGGGCCCATTGTCTCATAATCTGTTGATGCCTGGAGCCAGATAAACTAAGATAAACTGAGTATTATGAATAAATGAGCTTCTTAACAGCTGTCTCCCGACAAGAAAAAACATTCAAGACCTTTGTAAGTGAAATTTAAAGCTTTTTAATTAAGACCTGCAGATACTCGTTTACCTGAATCCAGCTCTGTCCTCCTGGTCATGGTCGCAACATGATGGGAAGCTTCTCTCGAATCTTTGCTTTTTCTTTATTGTGAAACTCTGAAGAGTTTGACCTCTTCAGAGTTTCAGTCATCACTTCTCATGGGTAGAGTTTGTTTTTCTTTTTTTTTTTCCTGCTATTTATCCAGGGAAGTTTAACTGGAAGAACCTGGCTGCTGGAGTGGGGATCAACCCGGTGACTTTAGCCCACAACCGCTCACATTCGCTTTGAAGGTTTACGAGCAATAACAAGTCGGGACTGACTGGTTTTCTAACGACTCGCCAGTATTAAATAATCAAACATTTCTCCAGCCGTGAAGTCGTGCCACAATCCCTGACGACCAGATAAATATTCCCATGTGACTTCCCACATATCATAACAGACTACAGGTGATGATGAGCAACACATCCCAACACAAACAATCTCACTCCGACCTGGTCACCCGCTCCTCAACAAACTCACGAGGACCACCTGAACGCATCATCAATAGGCGACCACCTTGCAGTGGATTCATCAGATACTGGTGACCAGGAGATGATGGGACACACACAGAAACACACACAGAAACACACACAGAAACTCCTTGATGTTTTGTTGGATTCAATTCCTGATTGGAGCTTTAATAAAGACACAAAGAACCTTTGATCGACTGTCGCTGAGTGTGTGTGTGTGTGTGTGTGTGTGTGTGTGTGTGTGTGTGTGTGTCCATCTGCCTGTCTTAGACAAACTGTAAGGAAAGTGCTTTCATTGAGACACACACGCACACACACACACACACACACACACACACACACACACACACACACACACACACACACACACAGAGCTATTCTGAATAGAAGAAGGTTTTCTTTAATGAGAGTGAAACTTAAATCCTGGACATTGTGCTGCTTTTAGACCACAGCCAAGATGGGCAGGTTTTCCTTCCCCACACACACACACCACACACACACACACACACACACACACACACACACACACACACACACACACACACACACACACAGTGTACAGTGATGTAATGGTTTTGCCAGAGCTGAAACATGTCTTGTATCGAGGCTGGTCACCTGCTGTGAGGTGAAATGGATTTGAATTCATTTCAGTGTCTCGCTTTAACAGGAGTTTAAACTCCGGCCACAGTCGCCCACTCAAGTAGAAACACTAAAACTTCACTGACACAGTTGTTAAAAGGACCGTACCAAAGTTTTTTGCATGTTGTTCAGCGCGAATAACAAACTGTTTTGGACCAGTTTTACAAAGCGTATCTTCAGTTTATAGAGGACTTAACGGCCTCATTTGCTGATGGGTCGCCCTCACAAACATTTAATCATCAAAACATTTGCTCTAATGTTTCAATTTGATTTGATTACTGTGTGAATGACTGATTTCTTTTCCATTTGCAAGTGTAAATATCCTTGAACCCAGTACTTCTGGTATCCCTGTGACCTCTTTAAGAACCACAACCTAGAACCTGCTTCAGAAGAACCACAACTAACTGAAACTCCTGAAGAAAACCTTCCTCAAAAACCGCCGGAACATTTTCAACGACCTCTTGAACATCTCAAACCTGGAACGTCACTGAAGCTAATGAAACATTTCCAAGTTCACCTGAACCCTCTCTAAGAACTACTGGAACCTCTTCAAGTGCTCCAGGAACCTCTCTTAGAACCTCTAAAACTTTCTAAAGAAATACTTAAATCTCTCTCAGAGGTGCTCCAGGAATTTTTTACAAGTACCACTGGAACATTTTCTCAAGAAGAACTTTTTTATAAACTGTTGGAACTTCTGTGAAACGCTCTGAACCTATCTTGGTTCCTATTGGTCCTCTTAAAAACCTTCTGAATTTCTGACCTGAAACCTTCTCGAAACCACTGGAATCTCTTCAGGAACCTGTAGAACTCCTTAAAGAAATGTGCAAATTTATTGGATCTATAGAACCTCTTTAAGAACTGATCTCAACCTTCTAAAAACCACTTAACTCTCTTCGAGTACTTCAGGAACCCCTTTAAGAACATCTACAACTCTCTAAAGTGACCTTTGAACCTCTTCAACAACCCCTTAACTTAACAATAGCTCCAGGAATCTCTTCAAGTAGAAGTGGGGCATCCTCATAAACATTTGAGATGGTTTTCGGGATCTAGTGGAACCACTTTAACCACACCTAAAACTTCTACAGGGAGGACACCTACAACGTTCTCAAAAACCACTGGAAACTCTTCAAGAACCCCTTCAAGGACCTCTACAACTTTCTAAACAAAGCTATGAAACATCTTCCAAAGCCACTGGAACATCTCGATAGCTCCAGGGATCTCTTCAAGCACCAGTGGAACTCAAAGATCTGTGGAACATCTTCAAGAACCCCTAAAAGGAGAACGCCTGAAACATTCCCAGAAGCCACTGAAATCTCTACAACTTTCCAAAGATACTTTTCAAACTCTTCAACAACATCTGGAACTTATAGCTCTAAGAATCTCTTCAAGCACCAGGGGAACCTCATAATTGTCTTGAGGACCTGTGGAACCTCTTTAGAACCTTTCTTACTTTCTAAAATAAACTATCAAATCCATTGAACTTGTGTAGTGTAAACTAATCTCTTCAGACCGCCTTAACCACCATATGAACAACAGTACGTGACATGCGCGTGCGTTGCGGCAGGGCGCGAGAAATAAACAAGGGACAGGTGCTGCGTTTCTCACGACTGCAGAGTATCTGTGCACGCTGACACACGCACGCGCACACAATTTGAGCGGTTCATACATCAACACAGTAAAAAAAAAAAAGAGAAGGTGAACCCTCGGTGCTGACTTACAGGTAGGATGTGAAGACGCTCAGGTTGCTCGGTATCTCCCGGAGCCCCAGGTCCGAGCAGTCCACCCGGTGCAGCAGCCCGTCCACCTCGCACCGACAGCGGCCAGGGCAGCCAGCCCTCCCCGCTCCTCGGTCCCCGTCCCCGGAGATCCCCGCCCTGGCCACCGCGGTGCTGTTCACACCGGCTGATGCCCTCTGCTCCGCGGGTACGGCGGAGCCCCTCACCCCGGTTGCGGAGCTCTCCTCCGCGGCCACTGAGCCCAGCATCTCCACCCCGGCCACGGAGCTCCTCAACCCCACAGAGAGAGCTGCAAACGCGGCCAACAAAGCCACAAACCCCGGCATGTCCTCCGTGGTTTCTCCTCGGGGGGTAAAAGTTTCAGCTCCGGTGAAATAATAAAAACACACAAACAAAGTTGCAGCCCTGGATCTGGATCACGTTGTGTTTGTTGTTGGTCTCAACTCACTGGAGTGAGACTGGAAGCGGTTTTAAACCAGACTCCCTTAATCTGGATTAAAAGTGGCGCAGAGGCAGAAAATAACAGAGAAATAAAAAGTCCAGGTTGTTTGAAGTTGAAGCTGCAGCTTGGTCGCTTTCCAGGCTGCACGCGTGGAGCTGCACAGCCGGAGTGTGTGTGTGGGTGTGTGTGGAGATAGAGAGAGCAAGTGTGTGTGTGTGTGTGTGTGTGTGTGTGATTCCCTCTACTCCTACTACAGCAGTGTGTAAACCTTATTTACTTATATAAACCTCATCCTGTCACTATGAAGAGTGAGAGAGAAAGTGAAATACTGAACGAATTAATTAATAAACACATGGATAGAATTAATTAAATGAACAAATGAAGCACAAATAAAAACATTTCTGTGATTTATTTCATTTGAAACCCTGAACATGTTGTTTTTCAGTAGTAAATTCAACTTGATGACCATTTTAATAAAGTTTGATCGTTTTAATGAGTGTGCGTGTGTGTGCGTGTGTGTGTGTGTGTGTGTGTGTGTTTTCCATGGGTTCCCCACATGAATCAGGTTCAGCGTTGTGTTTCTCTTTGGCCAGATGTTAGATCAGCTATTAAAACAACAATAAAACACGCTAACATGTGCTGTGTGTTTTATTGTTCTCGTGATCTCAGTGGGAACAAATAAAACTGACTAATTAACTCAATAACTCACTAAATAACATTTTGTGATTTTAAGACATTGTGACATATAAGAGGTAATATGTAATAAATTCACAAACAAGCTGATGCACGTGATTTAACTCACATGTAAAAACATTCATTTCTCATCTTTTAAAGTAAGAAATATTTTATTTATAGTTGTTCTGGCTTTATCTGTGTTGTTATGTTGTTTCGATCGAACAGTCGTTTTAGCTTTAACAGAAATGTGATACTGGCAATCTGAAATATAATTTCAGTTTTAGTACAACAAAAGTACCAAAGACTCACAACACACCACACACACACACACACACACACACACAGCTGTGGTTAATGATTACACACTCTATCTACACACCTGTGTTCTTGTTAGTGTGTTATAGAAGTAAAACAGTGAGACTTTATATATATATATATATATATATATATATATATATATATATATATATTATATAAAGTGTGTGTGTGTGTGGGGGGGGTGTACAGGTGAGATATAAAGATGGTTATGAAACACACACACACACACACACACACACACACACACACACACACACACACACACAACACACACACACAACACACACACAAAACACACAGCACACACAAACACACACACACACACACACACACACACACACACACACACTAAGGTAATGATGCAACAGTGTGAGGCAATCAGTCTAAAACCAGCAGACGAGTGTTTTTCTTAAAGGAATAGTTTCATATTTTGGGAATCACACATGAGGCGGGGCCAGAAAGGTGTTCAGGTGTGGCACAACCCCCCACTAGAACCTGCCCCCCCCCCCCCCCCCATAGACAGTTGGTTTGTTTATATCAAACCTCTAAGTGACTGTTGTTCATGTTTCTGTGTTGAAAAGTCAATCAAATGAGCGGGGAGGCTTCGGGGCTTTTGGGGGTTAAGAGACAAAACAACTACAAAGAGACACAAAGTGACCACGAAGAAACGAACAATTACAACAAAGAGTTGCAACATAACCGCACAAAAGAGACTCGCGAGGCCTGCAAAGAGATGAGAAACGGTCACAAAGAGACGTAAAACGGCCACAAAGGACACAGAAGTTCTCCAAAGATGTGAGACGACCACAGTAAAACGGCCACGGACACTGTGGCTGTGTCAGTGCGGCGGTCTCGCTTCTCTGTGGGATTTCAAAATGATTATTATTTTTCAACTTGTTATTTGGCATAAATTCAATTATACAAAATTCAGATTCATTACAACTTTATTTCTCGCCTGTGAGGGGAATTTTATACATCAAGTACTCACCCGGATTTCTATGGTAGGCATATTATTAAACATGTTACAAAATGTCGGCACCATTTAGAAATCGCCTATGACAGATAGAGTCTCTTTCTGGAAAGGAACCTACGGAACGCTATCTTGATATACTATATCCTAATATTAGCGATAAGCTATTTTAAGTTTACTTAGTTTTGACACTTCTGCGTGTATATTTTGTACACTGGGATATGTTATTGTCTAGCTTGGTTAACTAACCCAGGTTCTACTGTACCGAAAGGCGTGACACAATGCACCATCGGTTATGGAGCGGCGATACAGACTTACGGATTCCTGCACCCTTTACAGATCACATGGCCCTTTCTTTCTAGTGGCATTATTCTTTTATTAAATTTTTATTCCAAAAAATTTTATATTGCATAATATGGTAACAATATTTCTCCAACCTTATATAAAATAACAAATGGGTGAGTTAAAAACACATTATTATTATTTTTGGGTTTTGGGAATACTGAGAAGCACTGGTATATGTAAAGATTTTTTTAATATGATATCCGCATCAATCCAGCTATGAGAGACACTCACAGAATGCTGTGTTTGCTAGGTAGGACTATTGAAGGCTAGGCAGTATCTACCTGCATGTCGCCGCTAATCAAGGCTGGCTAGGCTTATGTTTGCGTCTTCTGCCACTCGCTTAATTCACTACCCCAATATTCCTGTTCGCTCTCCTTTTCTTTTTGGGCGTTTGGGTCTTTCACCGGGATTTAGAAAATCCGTCACAGGTACGAAAGTGGTCTTTAAAAGGAGAGAGGCAGCTCGGGTTAGGTTTGTATAATACTCCCTCACACGTATAAGGGACGGGTTATTGTCTTGCCTATGAATGTTATTTATTTGGTGGCCCAACTCTCTATTATGTCCTGAGTCTATAGACTACGTGGGTATTCCGGGTCTGGGCCGCAGAAGATGTCCGGCTGAAGTGCGGTCGCGGCCTGGTGCAAGCAACCCACAAGCAGCGTATAGCTCCTGGAGAGACCACCGCCAGCCTCGTAGACACGGTAAACGGTCCAACATTGCCATACATTCCTCCTTTCCCTACAGGGGCATACTGTGGTTCCCTCGCGCAGCGTCAGGGTCCAGCTCCTTCGGAGGATCACGTTGCGCATCGCCAGCGGCAAGCCAATCAAGGAATGGACTTCACCGATTACTTACAATTTGCGAAATAGAATATAGTACGACAGTAACCGAGCAAATAAATGGTGCCGAAAATGGTGGTAATGAAGGTAAGAAAATGAGGCAATAGTCATCAGACATGTCACACTCATTAACAAGCTGTTGTAGAGCCGACTTGAGGTTCAATGTGGTAACACTTAAGGGTAATTGGTGTTGCAGGAAAGTTCCTATTAGCCTGTCCAACAAACCTTTGCTGGTACAGTAGCTTGCATAAACCGTACTCGTTGTCCTACTTATATGTAATGAAAAGTAATATACTGTATGTAATAAGACATGGTTATCTCTTATAATGTTCATGAGTTCTCTTGACTCCTCTTGTCTTCTTGGCCGTCTACGGACGATGTTCAGTCTGAGATTATTACTGTTTCCTGTATAGTATGGATGAAGTACGAGATGTCAGATGAGAGGTCTCGTCATTTTGCTTGATTCCGTCTTTCTCGAGGAGGGGCATATGAGGGAAGCTCGAATCCAGCAATAGTACAATGAGAAAGTTCTTGTCTCAATGTCTTTATGATTCATCTAGCTGATCTGTATGAAGACATAGCAAACGGAGGCACTGACCTCTCGATATGAGATCGCACAGCCGAGACTGTGCAACCTCCCAGTAAAATAATTATTGATTCATGAGAGAATGTCAACATTCAGAACGCTTGTATCTGAAGAGTGATCCTACAGAGTGTAGGAAATCGCATGGGACATGATATTAGAGCGCTACTCTTCCTCCATAGATTTATAAGATTTCAAATGCAGCGCGCGAGCGAGGACTATGTTGGATACTGATCATTGCACTAATGAACATCGAGATAAGAATCAAGAGGCTTGTAATCAGGAATGAGCTCGATAATGAGCACACTTTCTTACTTTAATTTTTTATAACGCGCCTTTCAGGTACGTCCCGAGCAGTTGGAAACTGACCAGGAGTGTACGCCGTACCTCTAAGGTATCAAGAGTAATTCCTAAAACTCGCATATAGCAGCCAAGAATATGATATTATCATCTCTCGGCATGATCCATCAGATACACCAGTAATTGTATTTTTAACTTAAAATAAAGGAATCCTGATCATAATACATAAAGGAGCCTTAAATGTACATCTAGAGCACCATCAAATATGCTGGTTTATTCCTGCTTTCTGACCTCGGACTAAAACTAGATCTCAAAATGCTTGAACGCTGTCAGTCGTCTACATTTGCCTGATCGATCTTAAAAGAAATGTAATATCATTAAGAGTAAATGAGTTGAACAAAGTGTTCGTGCAGAGACTGCGATAATATGTGGCCGACTGTGTACACCAGTGAGTCTCCGCTGAATCGTGAGAGCTCTAAGACGATTCCAGTTTTGCAGCCTTGCTTGCGTTTGAGCGACTACTTGAGCTAAGAGAGCTAGGCGCGAGGCATTACTTGACCTATGATGTCTCGGTCTGGATTTCTACAATGCTAGACTATTTGTCCCGCGTGTCTCACCTATCTCACTCTGAATAGTTCATGTGTAAACTTTTGCTCGCAGCGATAGCTTGCTGAGGGAGAGGGATGTATTACTTACGCGTCGTCAGACGTCATTAGATGAGATACGCAGTGTTGAAAACTGCTGTCTTTCTATATTATCAGGTGGTATATTATCCACCCGAACGATCATGTGGCATGGGAGAGATGGTGACAGAGACTTAGCTCACCTTGACGCATTTAACAGACCCAAGATCACTGTTCGAGCCCTCTTATTGGCTCATTGGTGCGTGTGCATAGTCAAGTCTTGAGTGAAATTTGTAGATTCCTTTTATGATTAGGAGAGAATCGTAGTTTATGTGTACTATCGAGAGTTGTGGACTTATTTGTCAGATGCAATGGGAAGGAACACGATGGCACGCGCGTCTTGGATGATTTTTGTGTGTATTCGGCCGGAGAGCGCGCCAATCAGTAATTATCATTCTTTTCGCCAATGTATATGA